ACAGTTGTAATCAATAGACATTGCTTGTAGGGTTACAAGAAGTTTTGTGAGGAGAATTATACAAATTACTGCAAAAGGGATTAAAGTATAAGTTTATTTAGGATTTGGATTTATAGCAATAATTACAGTCATAAAATGCAGAATTAGAAATGATTTTAGAAAACCATTAGACGGGGTTGAAGGAAGTCTTAGGCTGTGATAGCCAAATATTTGATTTGATGTTCATGAGATGTTATGCTGGAAAATATGTATAAAAACCAATAAAAATTATTATATATATTTAAAAAATGTCCAGAGGCTTCATGTAAGCAGGAGAGATTGGCTGTTTTACAGCTGGCAGTCAGGTTTTCATCTTAGAGAAAAGGCAAGCAAGAGACAACATGATAGAAGTTCATAAAATTAAACATGACATGGAGAAGGTTGGGTCGATAAAATGGTTTTCTCCTTCTCTCATAACTCTAGAACTCGTGAACATCCAAGGAAGCTGAACATTGGAAAATCTAGGACAGAGGGGAAAAGAGGAATTCTTCATACGATATATAGCTAAACTAAAGAACTCATTCCCATGAGAGGCAGTGGTGGCCATCAACCTAGATGGCTTTAAAAGAGGCTTAGACAAATTCATGAAGGGGAAGGGCGGCTGTCAATGGCTACTAGTCATGCTGCGTATGCCCTGCCTCCATAGTTGGAGGTAGTAATGTTTCTGAATACAGTACCACTTGCTGGAAATCACAGGAGAAGAAAGTGCTCTTGTTAACAAATGCTCCTTGAGGGTTTCCCACAGGAATCTGGTTGTCCATTATGTGTTGGGTCATTGGTCTGATCCAGTAGGCTTTTCTTACATTCTCATCCAGGGGTCAGCAAACTTTTTCAGCAGGGGGCTGATCCACTGTCCCTCAGACCTCGTGGGGGGCCCGACTATATTTTGAAAAAAAATAAAAATGAATTAATTCCTATGCCCCACAAATAACCCAGAGATGCATTTTAAATAAAAGGACACATTCTGCTCGGTTGCCTACCCATGTTCTTATCTAACTAAGGAAAAAACTGGGAGCTCTCTGATTTCTACACTAATAAAATAGAAGCACAATGAAGAGGACCAAGCCACATAGGATATGGGAGGTTGACACCTCAATGTTCTCTAGTTGTGGGTTGTTTTCGTTCCACTTATTTAGCCCCAAAACAGTTGGGCTAGGAGTGTGGTTGTTTAACACTTTCCCATGTGCAACAGCACATGGATCCAAGTTCCTCCACCAAAGTGGGAAAATGCAGGCGCTTTATAAGTACCAGAATATATATTTTTCGGCTACAGGGGTTATGGGGGAGGAGCAATTAAAATCTGGGAATCAGAGTGAGGGAAGGGGTTAAGTGGCCTCTTCCTCAGGCGCTATTGCACCAATTAAAACCAGTAGCTTTACCAACAACAACAAAACTTTTTAAAAATCCATAAAAAAGAGCTGATCTCACTGAATTATTTACTGTGCTAGTCATTTGGAGCAGCCTTGAACTCTGTAAACTCTGTAGGTCATTGAAGTCATGTTTCATATGGACTAGAAACCTTTTCTTTTTTAAAAAAATTGTTGATATCTTCTAGATGCTGAATTTTGCACCCTGTTCCATCATGGGATGTAAAATTCTGAAACAATAAACAAACAAACAAATAAACAGGATACATTTAAGATTTTGGTGAGCATAAATAGAAAGAAAAGAGAACCACAAACCTTCAAAATGGCTGCATGGAAAGGCAGCAGTTGCTACAGCTTTGTGCTAAAATACCGTAATTTTTGCTCTATAAGACTCACTTTTTCCCTCCTAAAAAGTAAGGGGGAATGTGTGTGTGTCTTATGGCGCAAATGCAGGCTGCGCAGCTATCCCAGAAGCCAGAACAGCAAGAGGGATTGTTGCTTTCACTGCGCAATGATTCCTCTTGCTGTTCTGGCTTCTGAGATTCAGAATATTTTTTTTCTTGTTTTCCTCCTCCAAAAACTAGGTGCGTCTTGTGGTCTGGTGCATCTTATAGAGCGAAAAAGATGGTAACCTCTTTTCTCCCATTAAGCATTACCAACCTGACCTTATCAACTGGTTCAGCTTGAGTTTCCATCTTCAATGGAGCAGGCGCTCCCCAAGCTTTCATTCACTAAGTACAGCATGTGCAAATGTTCCTGTATGTTTCTGTCATTACATTCCTATCATCCTTTGAAATATTAATCTGTTGCAGAGGGAAGGAGGGAGAGGGAGAGATGTTCAATGTCTTTACATGCATTTATCACTTCTGGTATGGAAGTTTGCAAATGAATGAAGCAGCAAGGGGTAGCCACTAGGCAGGACTTCATACATGTATAAATATTTGACAGTTCAGCCAGGTATTCATACACTATGTTCTGCCAAATGTTCCATAGGAAGTACTCCCTCCCTCCCTCCCTACACACAAGCACTTCCCCTCCCACCAGCCTCCTAATAAATTTGGTATTTTTTTAAATGCAACTGCTGTCACCGTCTTATTTCCTCTCTAGCTCACTATGTCAATAAATACATAGCAGAACATAACATACAAACAACACAAGGTCAGACTGTGCCTACTTCTTTGGAAGACTGATAATAATGTTGTTACCCAACAAAGCCCTGTGTTACACCCAAAGGCAGTGTAATTGGAGTGCTATTTTGTATCATGCAGCTTTTCAGACTGATGAAGCGTGTAGCGAAACCTGTAATATATCCCGAGAACAGGTCTCCTTTTGCCCACTTGCGTTATTCTCACCAGGGTGGTGACTTTGATTTGCTTTCCCGTGATTGATCCATGCATACGGCTTTGTGTTTCCAACTCAAGACCCATTGAAGAACATCTCATCCAGTTCAATCTTTGAAAAACAGCTTTGAAAAACGTTTTCATATTCTCCGGTGTGCTACCCATTGCCATTGTGGCAGCACGGGGTTGCCGTTCTGTGATTGGACTTACTCTACTTGTTGAACGGCTAATTTATCCAGTCTGTATAACGTTTACTGCACATGTAACTTGTTAAGATAGAGTTGTACATCTATCCACTCCATGTTTACAGTATCTCCAGGCTTTGTCTTGCACATGGCACCTTAGTATGTTTGTTGTTTGAATGATTATAAGTCTATTGCTATTCTAGCTACTATTTTAGTAAATTTGGTTTTATACTTATAAGCCAGTTTGTGGTGTTGTTGTTTTGTTGTAAAGCCTATTGCTTGCCTTCTCATTCCACAAAGTGCATTGCAGGTAGCATTGTGATATGGTACGTGATTTGGAATCCTTCAGCGTAGATGCTTATTCCACCAGAGAGATTGATTTCACCATCTGAGGCGAAACAGGAAGGTGCTGCCCTGCGTGTCATTACCACCCTCCACCCCCACCAAAGCCTCATTTACTGGGGTCACATAGCCGTGGCTTCTGACAAGGTCTCGTGAGACCCCTGCGAGACATCATCTTCAACACAATCTTGAGGGCCTCTTGAAAGATCTTGCAGGACATTTGCAAGATCTCACCAGAACCCAGAAGCTGCCTCAGCCCCTTCTCTTTGCTTCTCCGGTGGCGGCGGCTGGGGAGGCCCATGGAGATGCCCCTTGAATTCCACTGCCTGAGGCCACTGCCTCAGTCTGCCTCATGGATGGGCCAGCACTGCTTGCCTGCTCACTTTGATTCTCAGGAATGACCGTCTTAGTAGTGCTGTATGCTCTAGGGTTTTGTCTTATATCCACTGTAGTCCTACTTGTGCTATGCATTTAAAGCAGTATTACAGCACTTTAAACAGTCATGGTTTCCCCCCAAAAAATCCTAGAGACTGTAGTTTCTTAAGGGTTTGGAGAGTTGTTAGGAGATGCCTGTTTCCCTCACAGAGCTGCAGCTCTCAGAGTTCCCCAGGAAGAGGGATTGGCCATTAAGCCATTCTGAGCCACACAAAAACACTCAAGGAGGGTATGGAGGAAGGCCGCTTTGAGAGGTGTGGCTTGGGGAGGAGAAATGGACTGGAGAAAGTCCTGAGGGCCAGAAGGAGAGGCTGGACAGCTGCATTTGGCACCCAGGACCAACTGTTCCAGCCGCTTTCTTTAACCTGTGTTAACATTTTCCTTCATATTGACATCAGCAACTTTCAGACTTCAGCACCACTTCAGTGCTTGTTTGAACTTTGCTATTATATTTTAGAGCTGAACGCAGCCTTCTGAATGGGCAAATGTGGGTGATGGGGATTGTCACATTTATCTTTAAATGAAGAAAGAAGGGGTAAAAGAATGGTGGGAGATGAATTGCAGTGGAACAGAAACATTGCTGCATGTGACAAACACAGGGCAGAATAGAAAACTCTGCCTTCTTGCATCCTTAGCATTTGGCTGCAATTGCAAAGAGACAATCTGAAAGGTCTTAAAGCATGCTTCTGGTTCTTCCTCAGCAAGCACAGCTTGAATTTGATGCCTTCAAAAATTTGGCACCCCATCCAGGCCTGTTGGGATTGGTTCCACACTGGGACCGATCCCCATTAACAGCACTGAATTTAACCGCGAGTGGCGCTGTGGGTTAAACCACAGAGCCTAAGGCTTGACAATCAGAATTGGCGGTTCGAATCCCCACGATGGGGTGAGCTCCCGTTGCTCAGTCCCTGCTCCTATCAACCTAGCAGTTCGAAAGCACATCAAAGTGCAAGTAGATAAACAGGTACCGCTCCGGCGGGAAGGTAAATGGCATTTCCATGAGCTGCCCTGGTTCGCCAGAAGCGGCTTAGCCATGCTGGCCACATGACCCGGAAGCTGTACGCCAGCTCCCTCGGCTAGTAAAGCCAGCACCACAACCCCAGAGTCGGCCACAATTGGACCTAATGGTCAGGGGTCCCTTTACCTTTACCTTTACTGCAAGTTCCACTGGGATAGGCAGGAATCATAGCTGCCCCAGCTGGAATTCAAGGTGCAGCTGTAAAAGGAGCATGTACTCGCCGACAGTGATAAAGGGCTTTCAAAGGTAAGCTAGGTAAATTCATGGAGGGTAAGTCCAGCAATGGCTCCTGTCATGATAGCATGGTGCTGATAATGCCAAGGTTGCAGGTTCGATCCCTGTTTGAGACAGGTGCATATTCCTGCATTGCAGGGAGTTGGATGATATGATTCTCAGGGTCCCTTACAACTCTATGATTCTGTATGCAACCTTCAGCCATCGAATGGCAGGTGATTGGCAACAACTGCAGGAGAGGGCTATTACATTCATGCCCTGCTTGTGGACTAAGAAGAGGCATCTGGTTGGCCAGTGTGGATAACGGCATCTAGAATTAGATGGACCGGCAAGACTCTACTTAGGTTCTTACATTGCCTGGGAACCATTTATGCTGCAAGATGGAAGCAAATGAGAAAGAGTTTGCAGGAGGTTACCAGCAGCAAATATTATTCCAACTTAAGTGTTCTATTTTGAGAACATATAGCAGCTTTTAAATTCACACCGCTGATGGGTGTTGGGAGATTAAAACATATACTTCTCTGTCTGTCTTCTGCAGAAGCCAAACCTGTAGAGTTGACAACCACCACAACTGGAAATTTCTAGTTGTTGTTGTTTAAAAAAAGAGCATTTCCATCCTCAGTTGACACCAACATTTTCACTCACCCACCCCTTCAGGGCTTGAAAACAATTCTAAATGCACTTACCTGTGAATTTTTGAACCGCCAATTCCTTATAAATAGTAAGGCACCGTCACTTCTGAAAGGACAAATCTACCACTTTTCCTTCAGTGATAGTGCTCCAGGCATTTGCATTTCAAAGAATCAAGCTGAATTAATTTCAGACGAAATGTAAATAAGGCACCTGGATGCTAATCAAGAAAGTAAACAGCAAATTTGGATTTTTTTTTTCATGAATAAAACAGCATGTTAAGGAGGCAGCACCCTGGCAGGACATCTTGAGCTGTGTGTTCCTACAGGATTCTTTCATTAACATGGGGGTGTGAGGGGAAAGGTGTGAAATAAAAGGAGGAAAGGTTGCTCCCATAACAGCAAATAAGTTTTAAAAGACCCTTAACTATATAATTCTAGGTCACAGCTGGAAACCTGTGGCTACAGCTTAGTGGCAGAGTATCTGCTTGGTGCACAGAACTTCCAAGGTTCAATCCCTGGCATTGCCAGGCAGGGCTGGGAGAGGACCCTGTCTGAAACTCTGGATAGATGTTGCCAGTCTGTGTGCAGACTGTCATGGGACTGCCATCGGAACAGGGGAGGGAGGCAGGGGTCGTTGGGATACAGAGAGCCTCCAAAACACCTGAGGAGCAGTTCCTCTTCCAGCGGTGGGAAAAGCCACACCTCCAGTGGAGAAGAGAGGGAAGGGGCCAGCCAAGTGAGGAAAGGGCTCGAGGATGCTGCTGACAGCCCCAGTGCCTCACCTCACCAGGCTGGCAAGGAGGGACGCACGCCACTTCCATCGCCCAGCTTGCAAAGAGGGGTGAAATGCAAGGAGGGGAGGAGGAGGCTTGGGGTGCCAAGGTTCTTATGTTGGGGGGAAAGCCGGAAGGGGGCACTCCCGGATTCTGCAAGTGACTAAGAAGGACATGAACTTTGTGGATCTGCACTGTAAATAGTTTGCACAATAAAACCTGTAAAAGACAGGTCGGAGTCCTGCCTGGTTACTCACGAGCAACCACCACCAGCGTCTGACAAGACTATACTGAAGTAGATGGACCAGTGATCTGACTCAGTACAGTGATATCTCTGGTTAAGAACTTAATTCGTTCTTGAGATCCGTTCTTAACCTGAAACTGTTCTTAACCTGAGACACCACTTTAGCTAATGGGGCCTCCCGCTGCCCCACACCGCCGCTACCTGATTTCTGTTCTCATCCTGAAGCAAAGTTGTTAACCCGAGGTACTATTTCTGGGTTAGCAGAATCTGTAACCTGAAGTGTCTGTAACCTGAAGCGTCTGTAACCCGAGGTACCACTGTATAAGAAAACTTCCAGCCTCTGTGCTGGTGGAACTTGGGGCACAGCCCCTAGGGAAACTAATGGATTCTGAGATGGAAACCACTGAAATAAACTTTCAGGTGTTTGCGGCAATAATGGGTGTGGCATTCGTACAGAGCCCCCGGTCGTTTCATGGACTGTTGACCTGTACACCACTACTTTATTCTTCCGCTGCCACCAACTTTGTGGGGGGAAACCCAGGGCTCCCCAGTGAAGTACTGAGTCTTAGTCAGGTAGAGTTAACAATGAAGATTAAAGTTTATTTCAAACACAAACAAGTTTTTTAAAAATATTCGAAATGCTGTCACTCTATTCCCTCTCAGTCTTGTCCCTGTCTCTAACTCACTCTGACTCCTCTATTCCCCCCCCCCCAAAAAAGAACCAACCGATATAACTGTCAAAACCTCTGGGCTGAGCCTCAAAATCAGGTAGGCTCCACCTCCGGGCTTTCTTATTGGTCAACCTGTTAACCCTTTCTCTCCCCCAATACAAACGTATCCCCAAAGAATAGGCAAACGCCACAAGGGGGCAGGGTGAAATGGAGCCCCTGAACACGGCTGGGGATGGCAAAGGTGGGTTCACCATTTGCAGACTGCCCTGGGTGCAGAATTGTTCCAGTAAGCAGAGGCAGAGCTAGCTGTGCACCTGCGGGGGCGGGGCAAGCATCCCAGGAGGGCGGGGTGGCGATATCACACACACACCCAGGATGACACCCAGGACAGACCGCACCCACCGCAGCCCCCTTCCTCCGCCAGTGGGAGTAGGGATGTAGAACTCTGCCCCTACAATGCATCACTATCTTTCCCCTCTTATCACTGAAGCAAATGTTTCTCTTCTCCTCCCACTTAATTTGGAGATTATGGAACATAGGGAACCACCTTTCTACCAAGTTACATCACTTGCCCATATAGCTCATGGGTTAGGGGGCCTGTTAGCCCTCCAGATATTGGAGGACTCTCAATTCTCATCAGCCCCAGCAAGCATGGTGAATGGTTGGGGCAGTAGGAGCTGTCGTCCAGCATAATCTGAAGGGCCACTAGTCCCTCCACCCCTGGTATAGTCAGTGTCAACTCCAGCATTTTTTAGGGTCCTCAGGGAAGACACTCTCCAAGCCCCACACCTCAGCTGGGAATCCTGATTGCAGCAGGGGGGAGCCTTTCTTGGGTGCAGACCCACCAGTGTACCTGAAGGAGCATCTCCACCCCCATCGTTCAGCCAAGACCCTGAGACCCAGCGCCAAGGGCCTTCTGGCGGTTCCCTCATGGTGAGAAGTGAGGTTGCAGGGAACCAGGTAGAGGGCCTTCTCGGTAGTGGCGCCTGCCCTGTGGAACGCCCTCCCATCAGATGTCAATTAAACAAACAACTAGCTGAATTTTAGAAGACATCTGAAGGCAGTCCTGTTTAGGGATGTTTTTAATGTTTGATATTATTATTATTATTATTATTATTATTATTATTATTATTATTACTCTGCCCATCAGGCTGGGTTTCCCTAGCCCCTGTGGGCAGCTTCCAACAAAGATTAAAAATACATTAACACATCAGTCATTAAAAACTTCCCTAAAGAGGGCTGCCTTCAGATGTCTTCTAAATGTCAGGTATTTGTTTATCTCTTTTATCGTGTTTTCAATATTCTGTTGGGAGCTGCCCAGAGTGGCAGGGGAAACCCAGCCAGATGGGTGGGATATAAATAAGTTGTTGTTGTTGTTGTTGTTGTTCCTGCCTTTCATTCAGGTGACTTGAGAAAGTCAAGAAGAGGAATCCTAAATTAATACTACCTCCTCGAAATTCCCCATTGTTTCCTTCTCCTTCCCTTTGCCTGACTAGGCTATTCAAGCTTTCTGCGAAAAAGGTTGCATCTTTGTTAACTTCCTTTAGCTGGCTAAACTGTTCCCTCTGCTGACAGAACCAAGGAACAACTGATCAGCCAATTGAAATGGTGTTGACTACAGCTTAAGACTAATTTGGGTGGGGGCAACAGCAGGTATTTCAAAGTAATCTGTCCCATGACAAAATGTTCTTTTAAAGAATGGAGGAACAGAGAGCAAATACATCACATTTGTATTTAGTGCAAAACAACGGAGATTTGACCTCTGAAAAGGAAAGTTTCTGTGTTTCATTTCATATTCTGTTTTCTGAATATCTGAGGCCCCCTCTGCACCATACATTTACAACTGTATCATACCAATGTAAACAGTCAAGCTTCCCCCAAATAATCTTGGGTGCCGACCTCGTTGGGATTTGAACCCTGGTCTCCTGGGTTCTAGTTTGACACTCTAACCACTACACCACACTGACTCTCAAGTGTGCATAGGATTGCAGCCTGGCTCAGCAAACCTATAGACCCCCCAGAGGGTATTCCAGAGGCCAATAGAACATTTTCTCCTTATCTCCTTGAGAATTCCGACTTTAGAGAGGGAACTTCAATGTTGGATTCCCCTCCCACTAAGAAATTCAGTTTGATAGGCATTTTCAGTATACAGTAGTACCTCGGGTTAAGAACTTAATTCATTCTGGAGGTCAGTTCTTAACCTGAAACTGTTCTTAACCTGAGGTACCATTTTAGCTAATGGAGCCTCCCGCTGCTGCCACGCCACTGTCGCACGATTTCTGTTCTCATCCTGAAGCAAAGTTCTTAACCCGAGGTACTACTTCCAGGTTAGAGGAGTCTGTAACCTGAAGCATCTGTAACCCGAGGTACCACTGTACATTGCTTAGAAGTAGTAATGCAAACCTATCTAATTTGCACATCCTGTAAGAACATGGAAGTCAAAATATAGCCACCCTTCAAAATTCTCACTTCTCCTGAATGTGTGCAGAAAATGTATATATTAGGGGAAATTGCTTGTTAAAATGTGTTTATTAGGCAAAAATTGCATAGAAAAATGTGTGTTGCTGGGAGAAACTGATGGATTTCTGTGAGGACTTGTTTATTCCAATGCAGACTGTTGTGGAAAGGATGTGACATTGAAATTAAAATGAGAAAGATGAAAAACAGAAACAGAAACAGATGGATTCATCCATCCCTACACGCCTACTCCTGTTTCAACAGAATCATCAGTGGTCCTTCTCAATGACATCAGAGCTCCAATTTCACCAGCATCAAAAAGCACATGTTCTGTGAGTGAATTAGGGGTGTGCAAAGAATGCAAAGGATGCAACGCCTTCCCAGTATCATGACAAACCCTCAAACTGGAGATTAAACCACAGTAGCCTTTGAAATGGCACCCTTTAATTCCATCCCATTGTTTCCAACGGGAGGGGAGAAGAAGCAGGAGATGAAAAGGAAGAAGAGGAAGAAGGCCGAACCCAGGAAAAGATGGAAGAGTGCAAGCCACAGTCAATGAGAGTCCAAAAGGGCATTGGATGAGATGGAAGAGCCAACTTTGGTTCCCACATTCCTCAGTCCTGAATCCTGAAAGAGCTCAGGGTCACTTGCCCCTTCCACCAAAAGCAATGCTAGCCAATATTTCCAAAGCATGTCCTTTAATGTGCCCCATAGTGTAGCTTCTGGTTGCTGCGAGGCTATTAAATGTTGGCAATTGGAAATGACAGCACACCAGAACCACCAAGTATGGTCCCAAGTCCTAAAGTGGCCTGCTTCTTTAGTTTCCAGGTGTAGCTGCTATACCAATCTGATTTCAGGGGACTGGAACTGATATCATTGGTACAGTTAGGTCATTTTAGAGCTGCATTTTTGCGGGGTGGGGAGGGCTTTTTAGAAGGTATTACTTCAACTCACATCAAAACTTGATAAGCCAGCCCTGCTGTGTTTTGGGAGACCTCTTGCTCACCCTGAGTGGGACCCTGGTAGGGATGGGGGAGGAATTCGATTGAATTTGGATTTCAACCTGAGCCTACCTGGGTTGGACTTTCAAAAACAATATGCAAACTGAAACACAGCTGAGAGCCAGTGTGGTGTAGTGGTTAAGAGTGGTAGTCTTGTAATCTGGGGAACCGGGTTCGCGTCTCTGCTCCTCCACATGCAGCTGCTGGGTGACCTTGGGCTAGTCACACTTCTCTGAAGTCTCACAGCCCCACTCACCTCACAGAGTGTTTGTTGTAGGGAAGGAAGGGAAAGGAGAATGTTAGCCGCTTAAAGGGAGTGAAAGGCAGGATATCAAATCCAAACTCTTCTTCTTCTTCCTTTAATAGCTCTGAGATTTTGTGAAGCCATCCTCCTGTCAAATAATGCATGCATGCATTCAAAGGTGTTTATTGGGGGAAAGTGTGCCAAAAAGATTATGCAATATCCATTGTTGGAAATGACATACATCGTGGTACATGAAGTCAACTATCCATTGTCCTTGGATAGAGACGGGGGCGAAATATAATTCAGTTTGCATTTAAAGGTGAACCTCCCTAATTCACACTTTTCCAAACCATTCACAAACAAAACCACAGCTACTCATTGAAATCTGCCCTTCTCTGAATTTTGCAGAGCAGTTCTCCAGCCAAGTGATGGATACAACAATGCATGTGTTAGGGTAAATTGTGCATATAAATGCATATATTTGTGAAAATGGCATGGAAAGAGGCTTTATGTTAGGAGAAATGGCTTGCCCAAATGTGTACACAAGGCAAAAATTGCATACAAAAACGTGTATATTAGGAGAAAATTGCACTAAAATACCTACAAGCTTTGTTGAGGACTTTTTATTTAAATAGAAATAAAAATGGCAGAGCGGTGCAGAAATGTGGAGAACTCAACTTAAGGGTGGGGAGGGATGAGAAACCATGAAAAATAGACTGATCTGTCCATTCTTAGACATGTGCCCTGAAATCCCACCCTAATGGCACCACTGCCCAGAATAGCGGTCCACTCTACAAAGGATAAACCACACATCTTTTGTCTTGCTCCCCAAATTACCACACAAACACTCAAGGAAAGACTCCAATGTGAACATTTGTGTTTATTTTGTTCCTTTTTATAAATGGGCACAACACATGAGTAATAAAAAAAATAGACATTACCATTACAGTGCTACATTGGCAAAGATTATTTTTTAATATTTTTTTAAAGGTTTTGGCCATCGACTCTGGACAAAAACAATTAAACATTTTTATTATTTTTATTATTATTTGCTTCCCCACCCTCCATTCATAAAACAGACACTAAATAGCAATTTCAGTACTAAACTCTAGAAGAGTTATGTACATACAAAAAAAAATGATTTTAAGACATGTTTTACCTTTAAAAATATTTACATGCATTGCTCCCCCGTGTTAGCAGAATAGTACACAACTTGGTATCTTGCCTAACGTTAAAAGTTTTCCATTATCCCGTGATTTGTAGCTCCCATAAGAGACTTGCAGAGGTATCTATTTGCTTGTCAAACCACTCCAGGAAGCAATTTTTTTGGGGGGTGGGGGTGGATATCAATGCTTTGTTTTTATCTATTTATTGAAATTTTATACACGTTGGGTTCCTATTTACAAGACAAGTGGGGCGGATTTTGTCTTTGAAGACACAGAAAACAATGAGGTTGTTCTAGCAAGCAGGCTGTTGCACTGGCAATTATTTTAAAAAAGCAGTTTTATAAAACAGTGTACAGAAAAGGAGTTGTAGCTGACTTCAGGATGCAATCCTAGCCAAGTTCACCCAGAAGTAAGTTTTAGTGAATTCAACGACTTACACCCAGGTTAAGTGGTGCTAGGATTGCAGCTTGTCATACTCAAAGTAGGCCCATTAAAATGAATGGACAAGACTAGCTGAAGTCCATTCATTTCGGTGGCTCTACTCCGAGTGTAACTTAGTCAGATACCACCCTCTCTTTTTTTGCTTTTAGTCTGATTTGATTGTCAATTGTAAAGATATTATATTCGATCCCAGCCACAAACACATCTATAAACACTGCATCTGTGGCACTCCACACTCCAGCTCTGGAGGCCTTGGGGAAAGAATCAAGGAAACTCCCACAGACATCACTAAATCTTGGGGCAATGACAATGTATTCAAAGTTGAACGCTAAGGGCTTGCACCTGTTATGACCTTCTGGATAAGCTTGGTGGACTCCAACTCTCATGAGCTCCAGCCAACATGCCCAATGATCAGAGATGATGGGAGTCCAATAACACCTTGAGGGCATCAGATTGAGGAAGGCTTCTTTAATCAGATATATCAGGAGTGGAGAACCTTTCACCTTCCATTGGATTCCAACCCACACTAGCGCCAGCCATGGATGATGGAATTTTTAGTCCAGCAACATCTGAAGGGCGAGAGATTTGGCTCCTATATATTGTTCATTATGTGGCCTGGCCATGAGGCATATTTAGGCTGCTGTCCTGCACCTACTTAGTGGAAGCAAGTCTCACTAAACTCAGCGGAATTTATTTCCCAATAGACGTGTGTAGCACTGCACTTTAAGGAAGATGCTTCAAGCAGAGACTTGTGTATCATTAAAAGGTCCACAAATGATCTTTATTTTTATAGATATTATGAAGTTGGGGTACCATTTTTAAAAAATTGCCTCATGTTCCAAACTTTATTGATTTAGATCTAGGAACACAAGATGAACATTAACTGAGTCACCAGGTGAGGTGGGGAATCCCCAAAGTTTGAAGAAGTACAAAGAAATATTTAGGGAAGGGGAACACAAATGGAGAAATGATATGAGCAAGAAAGACTGAACATTGCTGGCTAACAGTCAGAGAGCTGGAAAAGGAAAAATGGGAGTAGGGTAGAAGTGTGCATAGCTGTCTGGATGGAACCCTGAACAGAAGCACTCCACACTGCAACATTTTGTTACAGGTCCTTGTGCATCTTAATAGTGATTTTGACCTCCTGGAAAAGGAACTGGAGCTTCATCTACCCTTGTCAGTCATCTGCTCGGCTGGGCATCTGTGAAAAATTTAGATGTCCTGGTGCCCACCAATATAAACAGGGTTCTTCCTTGCTTATGTACACATTTTAAATTAATATTGTGTGTGTATCTATATGTACATACAAAAACATGTACATATATACATTAACTACATACATATACATACACACATATGCATACACACACCGTAACGTATTCACATCATCCCCACAGTCAAACCTCTGCCAACTGGAGGTGGTTGGTATCCATTCAATAGGGTTGTAGCAAAGCCCCTTGGTAAGACTCAAGCAAAACATTATGTAATAGGAGTGTAGTGACCTTTCCCAAGAAACTGAAGGCCTTTTGAAGTCTTAAAGCTAGAAGAAGAGAGCATCCCATTAATCTTTAAGTGGAGCAAAATTGCCAATTAACTTTGGTTAGTGGGATGAAAGGAGATCATGCTTTGTTGCAGAGATCATTTTTGAGTGGAAAATTTCAGCCAGTATCTAGAGGATCAAGATAAAGGATCAAGAGGGGAGAAGGCAAAAAGCACACAAGAGCTGGCAACACTGGCTGTCGCACAACCATCAACCTTCATCACAGAAAGTCAATGGATTTGCAGGAGAAGAATATTTTATGTTTTCAGTAAGAACGTTATTTAGATATTTGATAGTTAGGGAAATACAATTGCTTTGCAATAGAACAGAGGTGGGTAAGTTTTGGCCCTCCAGATGTTGCTAGACTACAACTCCCATTATCCTTGACTCTTAACCATGCTGTCTGGAGCTGATGTGGCTTATAGTTTAACAACACATGGAAGGAAGCAGGTTCCCAGTCTTTGCAATAGATGCAGGCTTTGAGAAAGAGCATCTAAATTGTGGAGAACGGATCCGTTTTTCTCCACATTGCAAAGGCACCAGAACACTGCAGACCACTATTTCAAAGCCAGAAGAATCTCAGAAAGAATTCAGGATGTTGGACTGGTTTAATTCCGGTTTCCCTTTGCCTGTTCACTTTGGCCCTTAGAAAAAGGCTAACAGCATAATCAGTAGTCCCAAGACAGACCAAAGTGTTCAATGAGCTGTGTGTGCTTTGGTCATTAAAATTGCTCAGATGTTATATAAACAACTTTTGAGAAGCACTTCCAGGTATTTGTGAGTCGCTTCTGCTGATGTTTATTCCATTTCTAATGTACCTATCAGGATCACATAGAACTAAGGTAGGCAAAATGGTGCATCTCCAGTTTTTGTTGGACTCCCAACTTCCATTAGCTCCAGCCAATGCTCAGGAATGATGGGAGATGGAGTCCAACAATATTGGCATGACACCCTGTTGCCTACCCCTACAGTAGAATGTTTGTGAAGAAGACATTTCCTGGTATGCATTTTTTGTCTTTGATGAGCCAGGGAGTGCAAGCTCTAGCTGCTCAAGGAACTGATGACAATATACACCCTCCTTTGTTCAAGGAGGAAGGTCCTCGTCAATGTACAAAGCACTTGAGATCTGCATTCTTCATTTCAGGGAAGGAAGTCATTCCTGTTTGAATGAGTATATTGGAATGAATGGGGACTACTATGTGGATCTCTAGGCAGAATGGCATGCTTCACAGCCTTCCAAAGGATTGCCTTCCTTTATCTTTTAATGCCTTCCCCCAACCAGGTACCTTTCAGGCTAACATCCTCCCTGACCATTGGCCATGCTGGCACAGTGGCACACTCAGAAAAAGGACATCTTTGCGTAACAAATCACTTTTGTTTCAATTTCCTCATTTCACTGAGCTGAGTTTTCACGGTGTTGTGGCGTAAACACACAGAGAATCAATCAATCAATCAATCAATCAATCAGTCCGTCACAGAGATTGATGAAGTTCCTTCTTCCAATCTAATCAGCCATGTTTCTATATTTACAAAGAATCCCCTTTTCTATGTAGTAAAGGAGTCAACACCTGTAGAAAATTATTTTTGGAACTTTGTGTTGGATCATTTCCATTAACTCTGTCACAGCAAATAGGCCTGTCGTGTTGTCGGACAACAGCGGTGATAGCAAAGTTTGGTGTCCATGACCAAAGTGTGTCTTTGATTGCTACCTGCGTTAAGAGGCATCCTTATTTTTAAACATGCACTGTTTCTCTGGGATTAAACACATAAGGGCATCTCCCCTGCCCCTTAAAAAGTAACTGTTGTAATGCTCACCTTCTGTCACTAGGTGTCGCTAAAGTGCAGCTGTGTTCAGCCTTAGCTTCTTATGGAAACGACACTACAGTGGCACCTAATAGAATGTGCATACTCTTAGAAAGAAGGACAATACCTTGGAAACAGCTGCTGCTTCATTGGCTTTTAGGAGGACCTAATAAACCTCTCCAGTTTTCCAAGAGACGCTAGATTTTTTACAAAGAAAAACAACTACAGAAAAAGCTGCATCAGACTGAAAGTGATTACTGATGAGTATTGCTACTCCAGAGTTATGGCAATATGTCCTTTTCATGAGTGTGAGTACCAAGAATCAAAACTCGCATGGAACAAAGTTAAACTCAGATCCATCAATGCATAAACTCACCCAGAGTCCCAAAGTGTCAGATACAGCAAAAGCATTGCCTAGTTTCTGCATTTATAAAAAGAGAACTCCATAATAAAATCAAGATATTAAAGAGAATTTTTTAAATCTTCCCCCCCCACACACACACACACATGAGATTTCAGGCTTTTACTGCCAGTTACTTAGACTTTGTCTCCTTTTCTGCACGCAAACCAGTAGGACCTTGCAGTGCTTTGGATATATTACAAAGGCTGAAGTCTTTAGGCACAATTATCTGGGAGTGAGCCCCATTTGAATGTAGTGAGGCTTATTTCTGAGTCAGCATGCATGGAATTACATTGGAAATCAGTGTAAAAACCATTAGAAACCAGACACATAGATGCTTCTCAAGAGTTTCTAATCTGCATGCATGAGGATAATTGGTGTAAAGCTGGAAGAATTTTAAAGACGCCCAGGAGTTCAAAGGAAAAGTGACAAGAT